AAGGGGATAAAAATAAAAAAATCTCCTCCAGTTCATGGGAAAAAAAAATTAAATTACCATGGCATTTATATCACAATGACAACAAGGAAAACAAATCAAGTTTAGGGTTGGTGCTGTGACCATTAATTTCATGCTGTAGTTATTGGAAAGGAAAACGAAGACTCAGATGCAGGAAAGACAGATCCACTATTAACTATTTTTTATTTCTTCGATTTTGTTTCGGTTTTTCGATTTTCTGGATGATTTGTGCTGCATTTCAAGCAGCACATTACAAACATGTGCTCAGAGGTACCAGCTTAACACGTCATTCTCTCCTCCAGAAGGCAAAAATGTGGTTTGCCATGATGGACTGGACTGATAGCTGTCTGCAAAATCTACCCATCTTCATGGTAATTACTGTCCCCCTTAAACCAAAACCTCAAGCTGTTTTGCAGTTCCTTCTGAAGAGAGCATTAAGGTCTCTGTGCAGGAAATTTATTCCAGAGCAAGTTTCCCGTATTTTAAATAGTTACATATGAAAATAAGACTGCAAAAGGAAGACAAAAAGGAAGAAGAGCTAATCAAGATGGGTTAGAAACACAGACACCATAGTTCTTTTCCATCTTTACACTATTCTAAAAATACCACTCCACCAAAATTTTAGACTAAGGCCCTAAAATGAACTCTGACAGTATTCTCCAGCACTTCCCAGTCACCACAACTGTGGTTACAAACCCCTCTCTTCAGCTGCTAATTAGGGAGGTTAAAAAAGGAAGCGGTTGTTAGGGTTTTTGTCTGGTTGGTCTGTGGGGGTTTGCTGGTTTGTTTGTTTGGGGTTTTTATATTTATACAGAGATTAAACCATGACATTTATTTAAATCAAAGGCTTTAATTATAGTTGGCACAGCCTCAGGCTGCCCATGGCCATCTTTGGCCACTCTGTTCCCAGTCACACTGATGACTCCAGTGAATTGCTCCACACTGGAGACAAAGTGAGCGAGAACATCATTTGAACCATCAACAAGGTGGCCCAAACTAGCAAAAGATGGAGTAATTTATCGATGTCATCAGAACCAACGTTCACTGTGGGCTCTTTCAGCATTCACAGGAGCCCACAGACACTGCAGACAGCTGAGATGGAGCGAGAGGGAAGTTTGGGTTTCCAAGCCAGGTAGGAAGCCCAAAGGGCTCGGGGGAAGAGGAAATTGGCTGCTGGGGAAAGTTTGTGCAAAGCATTCCTGCAGCCACACGTGGCTCTGCCAGGGCAGGGATGAGATGGAGCAGCTCCTGGGCAATGCCCTGCGGGGATGAAGCTCTGCCTCCTCTGTGGGCACAGATCAAGGCCTGTTTTAGGAACAAAATCTGTTCATAGAACTAGGAGAGACGGTGCAAAAAGATTTTGTGATGGTTTAAAATCTTTCTTCCTGAACATCACAGCTAAGCTGATACAGTCGTGTGCTTGGGAACTAAAAATCTTGAAAAGCCAGGACAATTAATCATGTTCTGCTGCCTGAGCTGAGGAACAAACAGGCAGCAGGACATGAAAATAAATCACAAGTTTAATGTAAGATGACTCATGTCAATTATCAAGATGCAAATGTGGTAAATGGGACTAGAAAGTTGGTTTAAAAAAAAAAAATCCTGTTAAACTTGATACTATTCTTTAATGTTTCCATTTTAATGTTCCAAGACATTTTTAGTAATTCCTTGCTCTTACCCTTACCAGTGTTGTAGCACTCAGAGATGTCATGCAAAGAACAACCTGGATGCCTTTTTACATAACGAGGAACACACAGCAAGCAGAGTTTAATTTTAATGTGTTTCTCTTGTATGTTCTTCTAGAAGAAAACACAGCTCTATTAGTAAAGCAATGTAAAATCCTAGAAAATATCATGAAATAGTGAATTTGTCATTCAATTTAAATGTTTTTACTTTAAACCTGTCAGAGCTCTAGGCCAGAAAGGTTAACAGTTGTGAAAAATCATTCTTTCACAAGTCCTGGCAAACAAAATAAGAAAATTCTTGCCTTTCAGTTGCTTCCAAAACCTCATTCAATAAAAATTTGCACAAAACAAAAGGAGTTGAAACTCTCAAGGCAAATAAAACTGCAAAAATACTTGAGATGCTTCGGGTCAATGTGGTCACTGCTTTGCATTGTTCTAATCACCAGTGCAAGGCGGTTGCTGTCCTGCTCTCAAACATTAGATGGCACTTTGGAATTTAGCAGTTCCCATAGGAAGTTGCAGAGCACACAGTTGAGAGATGAAGCAGCGCCCAGCCTCTAGTGCAGCAGCTCAAATCTCAGCTGATGCTGACACTGCTGCTCGTATTCCCACTCACTTGTATCCATGTTCTTACCATCTAAGGCCTTAAACAAAGACAGAAGAAAACCACAGGGGAGAGACTGTTCAAGAACCAGAAGCACCAGCCAATGTGATTTCTCACAGCAGCACCACCCGAGGCCATCTGCAGAGCCTCCCATGTGATATGGACCACGAGGCCTGCTGCACAAACTCTTCTTTTTCTGTTAGCCTCGTGCTATGGAATTCCTCCTGCAATCCAGGAAGCAGGTTCTAGGATTTCCATTGGAATTTGGGTCATCTCAGCAGACAGGCAGACAGCAGGAGCTCCCTGAGCTCCCAGGAGCGCAGCAATGCCACGCTGTCACCTGGTAAAGTCTATCTGACACCTGTGGAATTCCCAGGGAGCTCCTCCTCTGGCTCAGTCCTGGAGCCAACTGCAGTACACCAGCCCCTTGCTTCCCGTTTCCACTGGTGCTGAGCTGGCCCCAGGAGCTCCTGACTGGCTGAAAGGCAGGAGCTGATGCTTTCACAGAGGTGGGAACACGTCCATGAAAAAGGCAGCAAAAGCTGCAGCCTGCAAGCTCAAAGCAGTTCTGATCATGTCCAGCACAGCAGAGGCCAGGGACGGGATCAGACCTCAGGCAAGGGGAACACATCCCCCTCAAAAGCAGCTGAGTAACAGCTCCTGCTCCAGGGCCCAACTGCTGGATTCCTAAGGACTGCAAGGATCTCAGCTCACACGGAATTCTGATCGAATAACTCATTCTCCCATGGGAATCATATTCCCAGATCTCCCCTCTCCTCCCCCCTGGAACCCCTGAAGGGTTGCACACACGCAGAAGCTGAAACCCGACCCAGGTCTCTCCTAGAAACTCAGTAAGAGCACTGCCAGGGCCTGAATTTGCAGGATCAGGCTGAGGGCAGAGCCGTGGGAGGAACTGCCAGGGACCTGCAGGGCAGAGACCTCGAGAGCCCCAGGACAGGTGAAGGTGAGGGAGCTGAGCAGGGGCAGCAGCAGCTGAAGAACAGAGAGGACACCCGACCACGCTGCCCCCTCACGCACAGTGGCTGAACAGGATGATGCTCAGAACTCAGCCAGTCCTCACAAACAGCTCCAGAGAGCTGCTGGGCCTGAGCAATCCTTCCAGACAGCAGAGCAGGGAGTGCCTTTTGCTGGGTGTGCTCTTCACAATGAAATGCAATACATAATGCTAAAGATAAAATGATATGTTCTGTGTAAGACTGAATGTACGGCTTTCGTCTTTCATTTAAACACTATATAATTAATTCTACTAAGTCAAGGAGGAATTTGGCCCTCAGTATATTTAATGAAAATTCATACAAATAACCTTACATTAATTCTTAACTGTGCATATTTAGCTATTCAACCATTTTATTTCATATACAAGCTCCTCTGAAAACCTCAATGCTAATTATTTATGAACTAAAGCTCCCCTCACCCAGTGGCAACGAGCTGAGTGTACACAGATCCAGTCTGGGGTCACTTACAGGGCTGTTTCTCCATAAGAGTCACGTAGACTCCAGTAACTTAAAACGCTTTTATTAAGTTTTCTTGGAAGTGGTTGGACCTTAAGCCATTACACTGCAGAGAACTCATGCTTCATCAGTTTTGTGGATAAGGAATTTCATTCTGAAGCTATTAATCAGGCACTTTGCACAAAGTCATTCAGAAAAAGTGAAGGTGAACTTGTCCTTTTCCTGTAAAAAACGGGTAAGCACAACTCCCCTCTCCCAGCCCAGCTGCTGATCAGAGGACAACAACCTACAGCTCCTACCAGCCATGTCAGACTATCAGCCTAACCGGGGCAGGCTGCTTCTTTCACATGAAGTGCCCAGCTCTGGCATCTACACGTCCAACACCACGGCAGCTGCTCCCAGGAAAACAGAGCTCCCAGGAGAGAACAGAACGCAGAGCCTGCCTGAACACAGCTCAGCGGGACTGTAAAACAGTCTGGGATAACTGGGAAACAACTGGGAGAATCCCCACAGCCCAGAGTTCCTGAACTGAACAGTGTTTTCTCAGGAAGCAGAGCTTCACAAACGGCACCATTGCTTCTGCATGACTTACCTTGTGTGGCAGAGGGATCTGCCAGCTGAGGTAATTTAGAGACATTAAATAGTTTATCATTGCACATTTAAACAGTTAAAGAACGCCTATCAAGCAAGGCAGTATTTGGAAATCTAAAGCTGCCCACAAAGCCGGTTTGCATCATTAAAATGAAGTCTATCAACTCACTACACACAAGAAACAAATTATGAAGCCCTCCCTCCACAAACAATAAGGCTTCGCAGGAGGGAAATTCCTGCTTTTCATGCTGCTCCCTCTATTCAAAGTCCAACTGTTTCTAATGGAAATTTTGTTTGCTATGGAGATTATGATTCAGCCTTCTTTCTCAGGCACCAGCACATCACCATTCTCACAACAAGCGCACAGACTTGGAGCAGGGCGCAAAGATCTCTCTTTAGGGTTTACACTCAGTCATGCACGTGGTTTTCAAAGCATCCCACGAGCTAAGCAGAGGAAGTAAAAGCAACTTGTGAGCCAAGGCTCTGAAGCCTGAGCTACTCAATGAGTGGATGAAGCATCACAGCTCCAGGGACTGAGGAGACAAGCCGGGACTGCCCCGCTGCCCACACCCCCGAACCAGGAGTCGCTCCCGGGGAGCTGCGGCCGGGGGCGAGGGAGCAGCCCGTTACCTGCAGGACGAGCTGCTGCCAGGCGGTCGCCAGGGGCTGGCCATTGCCAATGTTGCAGATGCTGACTCTGTCTGCGGGCTGGCTGGCGCGCTCCAGCTGCAGGGACACATTGCGCCGCTCCTCCTCCAGCGCGCGGGTGAGCCGCTCGAAGCGAGCCTCCTGCTCCTTAACCGACGCCAAAATGCTGGCAGCAGACCTGATATCATAGTCATCCATGGCTGCTGGCAACGCTCCTGCCTGTTAACTGACCGGGGCAAACGGACAGGGGGCAGGCAGAGGGTGGGGAGGGCACAGGTCAGGGGTTAAAAATAAAAATGCACAGCGTTAGTCACCCTACCGAAATATCGTTCACTCTAAGAAGCAAACTGCAGCGGTCTTTGAAAAGCAGCCATCTCTCCATCCATCAGCTTGACTTTAAATTAAGAATAATTAATCTAAGACTTCCCTTTTCAAAAAATAAAAAAAAACCCCACATGCTCACTTTGGAGAGAATTTATATTTAATTCCTTTGATCTTTTTGCTAAAATTGCTCTGACAAGGGTTTTCATCCCTCTCCCAGAGCTAATTTCACTGTGCAAATAATAATGAACTTAAAAGAAATATATAAAAAAAGATAGGGCTTTGGAGGGAATGAGGAACATTCTCACTACAGACACCTGGAATTTCTGTCTTTACCAGCATAAGTGAGAAGATTACCATTTTTGAGGACAGAAACGTCATGGTACAAGAAAACACTCGTCTCCATTTTTCCCACCCCCCTGCCCAAACTTAACAGACAGTAGCTGAAAATAGTTTTCATTTTTAAATTATAGCAGCACACTGTAATATGGAAAACATTTTTAAATGCAGAGTGTGCAATTGCAGTTGAAATGTGCTTGATGATTTCAGCCAATGAAACAGCCCTTCATGCAGCTGCTCGCTAATAATGCAAATGGAAAAGCCAAAATCAAACATCTTCCATGGAAAACACGCAGGGCTGCTTGTCTCTCAAAGCAGAGAAAAGGGCTCAGGAACCAGCTATGTGGGATATATCTTCTGCCTTGTGTCTCCTCCAGCAGGGTTATGAAGTACCCCATGTCAGCCCCCATCTCCAGCTGCATGGTGCATGCAGTAAAAACCCCACTGATCCACAGGTCTGGGACGTGAACATCATTTCAACCTCTTCCTCAGAGGATGAAATCAGCAGCACAGTTTAAGCATAAATGATGGTTTCACCAGAACCCTTTCACTGAAAAAGTAACCAGTTTACTACTGGACTAAAGCACCTCTGAGATGAGCAGAGGCAGAACTCCTGTAATTCAAGAACTGTTCATATTCTGTGCTGAGAGTGAAGTCCTGAGAAATTGTCCCTTGATGTGCTGCCAAAGATTCTTTGCTTTCCATCTATCAGCAAGGATTTCCATGAGGACAGATAGTTCCAAGCCCTGGTTTCCTGATGCTCTGCAATTCATCGTTCAGTGCCCTCAGATGATGCACACACTCCTGACTGATCCATTTCCCATCAGTGTTACATTTATCAGGTCCCTCTCCTGTGCAGATTCTTTGGTAGGGACTGACAACGTGGTCAGGTACTGGTATGTTCCCAAAGGAGGAGTATTAGTAGGTATTAAGCTGCACATTTCCACAGTTTGTTGGAAGATCCTAAGCAGGCCCGAGGTCTCCTTTCTTTTGTCATACATGGCTGAAATCATTCAAGGGCCCCAAAGATACTGGGGCAGAAGGAACAGACCCCAACCCAATGACATACACCTTGACTTGATGGGAAATAACCTGCCAGTAGCTGTGTGCCCATTGGCAGCTCTTCCAGAGTTGCTAAAGGAATCAGGGTGAGTAGAAAATCACGTTGGGAACAGTGTAAGGATTACCATGTATTAATCTGTTCACACAGAACCATGACCTGAGCCTTTCATTTTGCAGACCAGGAGGCAGAAGTGACTTTTCTCATTTGTTCATTGATTTTAGTTCTATTTAGATTCTGAAAGAAAACCAAAAACCACCAAAGGGTTCTCCAGATGTCACAAATTAGTCAAATATAGACCAAGATGTCAGCTTCTGAGACCTTCCACTAGATTATTAAGAGCCTGTAAAGCCTTCAGAGATCCCACTGTTTTCTGCAAAGGAGAGTCACAACCATCCAAAAGGACAGCAGGATTCCCAGGATGTCTCACCTGCTCCATCCCAGTGTGATTAGCCCTGGCACAGCTACCCATGAACACAGCCAGACCTTCTGGGCCTCAGCTGGCTCGTGTGCAGCCAACTTGCACATTTCTGCTCTCGTGCCTCCCTGCTTGCACAGATGGAGGCAGCTCTGTCCCACGAGTGCAGATATGGTCACTGACTCCTGGGAGTGGGAAAGAACTGGGATTGCCCACACACACTCACTGACTCCTGGGAGTGGGAAAGAACCGGCACTGCCCAGCCCCAGGCACTGCCCTAATCTGGGAAGAACACACATGGGGGGCATTTCTAACTCTACATTCCTAGAGAGCCCCTGGGTTACCAATCATCAGTGCCCTCCTGCAGGAGCACAGGAACACACTGCTACACATCCCAGTGCAGCTCAGACAAGGGGATGCTCCAGGCCCAAGGAAAGAGCCTGGAGGGGTCAGGGACTGACAACAATGGACACAGCTCCTCAGAGGGGCTGCAGAGCAGAGCACAGGTTCCTCAGCCACACCTGGAGGGGTCAGGGACTGACAGTGGACACAGCTCCTCAGAGGTGCTGCAGAGCAGAGCACAGGTTCCTCAGCCACACCTGGAAGTGGCCCATCTTCCAGGGAATTCACTGTCTGCAGCTAAAAGTGCTTTTTCTCACGTGAAACCATGTGAGGAACAACAGAGAAGTCACCTTTTGGGAGTCCCAAGGCTGGATGTTTCCGTGGACTGAGTTCAAGAAGTGAATCCAGTGGGGACGACAAGATGTAACCTACAGCAGCTAAATTTAAAACAAGCAGGTTCCCTTCAGAATATATAATGCAAGAATCTGTTCTAAGGAAAAGCATTACCAGTAGGGCATGAAAAATCTAGAAGTCCCTCTTTGGAGCAGTTACAGCTTTAATAATAAAAAATCAGAGCTGATGACTGAGCTGATGTATCAACTTGCAAGTCACATTCTGAGAACGTGACAAAGATTCCATTCATAAAATCCTTAATGAGATATAAGACCTTGATGCCACACAAGAGAAGGTAGAAAATTTGGGTTCTATAAATGGTACAAATCTCTAGAGATCTCTCCATGCAGAAAATATAGTGTTAACCTCCTTACAACCATAAATATTGTCCTTCTCTTCTCTGTGCAAAGAAAGACACAGGCAGGAAATAAACTGTATAAATTTTCAGATGTACAATTAGTGACCATAAAAATCCTAATTGCTATGCAGAAACAGCAGCAGGACCAGTAACTGCCTTTTAAGAACTGTTGGACAAAGAAAGACTTCTGCATTTCAAATGTTTTATTAGCAGATAAATACTTGCTTGCTGTTGATTGCACTCCTAATTATTTACCCAGGGTTTCAACAATTTACATTATCAGCAGTCTAGACCAGAGGAGAAAAATACAAGCACTGACTCACGAGTCAGTTACTGGGGCTGCCACTTGCAATTTGCTCCCATCTGTAAATAAATTAAAGTGCCTCGAAAAGGGTATCAATAAAGGAAAATATTAGACCTCTAGCAGCCAGGTAAAGATTATTCCTTGGGCTCCATTTCTAAACACAGCAAAGAGCTGCCTCCAGAGTGTCAAAGGCTACGCTGACAGCAGCAAATCTCTCTCCCCTACCTACGTGACTCTAAATACATTAGTGCTGCACTGGGGCTGGAGCAGAGGAAGAGGATCTGCTTGTTCTGACTGTTCCTATGGAAAAATGATGGACTGAAGGGCCTCTCCTGAGCCAGCACAGCTTGAGTGCCCAGTGAGGATGAAAATCCCCCCGTGCAAAGGGCCAGGAGTCCCAGCTCACACCCAGCCTGGGCCCTTGGGAACACGGCCGTGCCTGCGGTCACTTGGTACTGCCCCAAAAAGGAGTCAGTTCTGCACACCAAGTTTGCTAATAACAGTCAAGAGCTTGTGAAGAGCCCTTCAGATTAAGAGGGGTCAAGTTCTGTGAGATTTGAGTACCTAAATGCTAACAGCCCTGGAGAACCTCAACCCCCCTGCACTTGTCAGAGTGCTGTGCCTTCCTGAAGCACTCGGGGACTCGAGTGAGCCGAGTCTGGAGAGAGCAGCGTCCCCCAGGCAGCTCCAGAGCACCACAGGGGCTCCTCTCAGCAGGAGGGAAGGGCTCTCAGGGCACCCAGGGGACTCTGAGGGTCCAGCAGTCTGAATGCTGAGCAGGCTGTCCCACAGCCCAGCCCAAATTCACCTGGCCCTGCTGCAGGAGTGGCACTACAGGGAGCAGCAAAGCCTGGACAACCCCCAGCTGCAGCAGCCAAAGCACAAGGCCTGGGAGCATGCACGGGAACAGCAGCTGTGTGCTGCTGCAGGGAGGAAAACCAGCAGAAAAAAGCACAGATGGGGCTTAAGAGCATGTGTGGAACTGAGGCACAACAGGATGACATCTCCAGCCCTGGATGAGCAGCACAACGTGGCTGTTGCCCCCCATGCAGCACCAGAAAGCATGCAGAGAAAACTGAGCCATACACACCTACAGAGGTACCGGGGCCTGGGGGTTAGAGCTGCTGTGACATCACCCACTAAGCCTAGAACAGGACAGAGAGAGCAGGAGAGCAGCCCGAAGCACAACCAGCTACAAGAGAGAGGAAAGAGAAGACAGAGTTAGTTAATAAGGTATTATATCACAGCCTCTTCTGTACAGTCATCTCCCAAGTTCTGCTCACTATGTTATAGAAATTATTTATTACACTGTTTTCCTCCCCACTTGGAGGAAAAAGAAACAATATTCAGAGAAGCCAATCCTGAGACTCCTAAGGAAAAAAAAAACCCACCCTAGTTAATCTGATTTGTGATCAATGCTCATGTGTTTCTGTGAGATTTACTGCTGATGTCCTAAATCAGGAAAAGCTCTAGACTGGAACGAGGATGATTGAATGCTGCAAACTAGATACTGGAGCCAGACAATTTAAAACACAGAAACCCAACATGATGCTCTCAGAAATGAGAACTGTTATTCAGGCATGCAGCTTTAGGCCCCACGTCAGATGTCCAAGCTCCAAATGGCTCAAGATCATTGTCAGGAAGGGGACATTCATTTCTAGAAGATGCTCACTGCACAACAGCCTTACAGCCACCTTCTCTGTTCCACCTGCCTGTAAATCTGATCCTACACAAAACCAAGGGGAAAGAAGCTTTTGGGATATCAGGTCGTCTGTGTAGCTCTGTAAATCTCTGACCTCTTTTGTCTTGAAACATTGAGCACCAAAACCTCCCCGGGCCAGAGATTTACAGTTTTGTCCCTGTTTTTCTGGAGAATGCAGACAGCAGGGTCCCTGTGGCAAAGGCTGGATCTGGGGGGCAGCTCAGCCAGGCTTCAGCTGCTCCCACAGCAAAACTGCTGCACCCACACGGCACAGAGTGCAGGGCCAGGACAAACTCCTGCTGCTGGTTCCGCTGTTTGAGAGAGGAATGTTGGCCCAGCAGATTTTATGCTTCAGCAGGTACTGTCTGCCCTCCTGAAGCCAGCATAAACACCATTTCTTGTGCTTCAGCCAAATTACCAGAAATACAATCCCTTCTTTGCATGGATCCAACCTCAAAGGGCACGGTGCCATCATGCCAAAAAACCTCATTTTTTCTTAAACTAAACAGAAGTAAGTTCTGTGCTCAAAACTTACGAGATATAACAAAACTGCACAAAGATATGCCCAAAGATGAAAAAAGCCAGGAGGCAGAGTGAGAAAAAGATTAATTCTCAAGCAAATGACCAGAGGGAATAAATTAAGCACAATTTGGTTTCTGCAGACAAAAGAGTAACAACACCTTTGAAAAAGAGAATTTATATATATATGAAAAACACATCCCAGATAAACTGCTTCCCAGCCCTTACACCGAAATCTCTCCTGAGCCTGGGTCCTCCTGCTGCTCTGGCTGACTGAGCTCTAATTTGACCCTTAGGTGACAACCTCCACCAATGAACAGCAACGAGGAATTCACAAAGAAACCTATTGCAGTGCAGTTCTCTGGCAGGCACGGACAGACACGCTGGGCTGGTGTCAAAAGAACAACAGAAAAAGCTGCTCAGGGGGGTTTGTTCCTTTGGACAGAGGCAGTCTGGGAAACAAGGGTTAAACTTGGGAACCAACAAGAGCAGAGGAAATGGAGAAATGGTGAGAGGAGAAAGTCCCTGGGAAGGAACTTTGGGTCTCAGGGACACAGCAATGAACACTGCAGCTCACCAGCTGTTACTGCAGGGAAAATGGTGGATGTGCAACATTTGAGGGCTTACATCAGTCAGGAGCTTCATCTGATCATCCAGCAGGAATAATTCTGCAGAAATAAATAAATCCTGCACATGAATTTGCAGAATATCACACTATGATCTGGGTTTGGCAACATCAGCAAAAGAATCCAGACACACCTTTGTAGGCACAACACAGTTCCAACACTTCCCTCGCTGCAGGAGTGGCTCTGGGCAGCAGCACCACAGCATCTCTCATCATAATGGCTCCCAGTCAACTTAAACATTAATACTTTAATTAACCTCTTAGTTAAAAGCACTGAAATCATATCATATCATAGTACCCTAGAAAAGATACAGTTCTCAGGAAAAAAAGGACACAGAATTTTCTTGGCTCTAATACAATCTCTTAATCAGTGCACATTTCAATGACACCAGTCATCCTTCCACAGCTTCCCTTCGGTAGAGATTCCTCACTTCTGCAGTTTGATATCAGGAATTTGTCAGGTTTTCCTCCCAAGGTTTCCTGCACTGCTTTCAGGCTTGGTGACACAGTGTGTGCACAGCTTTAATGACACTGTAGCTGTGTTCCCCTAATAAGGTACATTTCAATTTCTATACTGTATTCCCAAATGGAAAGGAAAATAAATTAGAGCAATATAGAACACCTTTCTCACAACTGCATACATATAATGGCATAAATAATTCAGTTTAATGCTCTAAAGCTCGAATTGAAATATTTTTACAGGGGCAATTTTTAAAGTAAATGTTTTAGCCTATGATTACTTTTACCCAACAGAAAAAAAAAATCCATTTCTTCTTGAAATTTGTCATTTATAGACCAGAACAGTGCAGCAGCCCCTCTCCAAAGCAGAGTTCTTGGGCTGGGGCTCCAAAGGACTCATCTTCTCCATCACAGAGTGCTGTTATGCCACCCTTCCTTCAGAGATCAGTATTTGTGCTAATTAAGCATAAAACAGCACAGCAAAACGGCATCGTGTTCCTTCACACCTCCTGAGCGTCCACACCAGGGTTTAATGGGCACGTGAGAGTCTATAAACTCCTGCACTGTAAATTCTCTGGGTAAACAAACAATCCTCCTGTATTTCCAAGGGAGTGTCCAGGTGGAGCAGTTTTTATAAAAGCCCTGTAAATACCCCAACACCGCCCAAGGCAGAGAGGGGCGAGCTCTGCCCTCAGGATGAGGCTGCTGGGTTTGAAGGTGCCCGCTGCAATCCCCTGCTGCTGCTGCTCTCCCTCCTGGGTGTCAATTCTGCCACCTTAGCCCCGGCCATGAAAACATCAGCAGCATTAACACTTCACTTCTGCGGACAGGGAATCAGCTTTGCATCATTTCTACTTCTGTACTGTGGCTGGGGAGCATTTGGAAGGCAGCACTTTCACCCCCCATCAAGAAGCCAACTCTGAAATACCCAGCTGAGTTGAATGCTGAGCACCGACCTCATGGAAACAATTCGGAGCATTTTGATCGTTGCAGCAATTCCATTTGCGTAGCACTCTGCACACTATAATGATCAGGCCTAGGTTTACACAGCCTCAGAAAATTTTATAGTTTTCTTTCTATTTTCTGGTTTTCCACAGAAACAAAACGCAACTTGAAAATGAAAGGCAGAACGAACAAGATCCCGCTTTGCGATCTCTCGTGGAATAGAAATAGTAAATTTGCCCCTTCTCAAACCTCTGACACCTCTTCTTCTGCGCTGGAACTTGCCAAACATGATTGCTACCAGCCTGATTAGCTGGCAGGCCGATCAGTTTAACACCCCAGAACACGTGTCCTTGCGTAGCCAAGCTGCTGCACGCCATCGATTTTCCAAAGGTCTCCCCCCCTGAAATCAATAAGGAGTTCTGCTTGAAAATGGATTGCACTTTGTGATCCCTTTCTGATTCATGGATATTCAGGTTTCCCAGTATTCTGAGAGCTGCTAATCCCAGTATCCTGCAAGTTGCCCAGTGGGCAACTTCCACAGCCAGGCCAGCTTCTCACGGGCACAAGAAAGCAACTGAAATATTACAGGAAGGCTGGAAAATCCTGCAGACACTCCTAACTCTTGCACAGAAGATACTGCTGTGCTGCCATCGAACAGATAAATAACAGAATGGCACGTGCCAAAGCTGAGGTCAGCCCTGCAGTCAGGCAGCCTGATGCCCACTCCAAATGCCCCTGGAAGGCATCAGCACACTTAGGCACCACATTCAGGCAGCTTATTTAAACTGAGAGCCATCAGGCAGAAAATTGTCCTTTCTCTACACATTTTTTGAGAGGAGACCGAAAAAAAAAATCCAACTGTGACCCCACAGAACAGGGAGTGTTTTAGCTCAGCAACAGATGTGTCAAATGACTTATCCCGACCACGAGGAGTTAATTGATGCTATAAATAGCACTCTGCACACACACACAAAAATCCACTTAATTCCAGTATCCAAAGCACACGGTCCAGCTTTGCCTTATCAGTAAAACTATTTTCCTATAAAGAAGTGGGCTGGGGTGTTTTACATGTAGATTAACACAGAGAGATAATTTGATTGCAGGCTATTGAGAGATTTCCTTCCTTTTATGTTTCAGAAGAACAGGACTGCATGCAGCTAAATGAGATCCATAGATTACAGTAGAAGAAAGGCTAATAAAACTGCACAGCTACATTCCTGGGTAATAACAAATGCTTTTTAATTCTAGGGCTGCAATCTCGGGGTTTATGGGGGCATTTCCAATTACTACTTTTAAGATTAATGCAAACAAACCCATCAAGAGAACACAGATCCTTTAACCCCTCTGAATCAAGTATTTACTATCTCCCATAGTATTTTAAACAAACTGGCACTGCCAGGAAAAAAAAATTTCACAGTTCTGAAGTGTTCAGAGTAAGCATCTTCCCCATGGTTTCTGACCTGCTTTCAGGAGAAAAAAAACCAAAACAAAAGCCCCTCAGCTGTTTTCCAGACCGTGTGTCTTGTTTATCTCACAGCCACATCTAGTGGGTTGTGTGGCTGCTCCACTGCTCCACCAGGGAGCTGAAAACATCAGCATAAACAGGAAAGAACATAATGTCAATATTCATGTTTCATTCCTGAAGCTACTAAATCAAATTAATTTTATTAGCTGCTTACCAACCTCTCCACTGCATTACTCTGCCGGATTTCCACCCCTCACCACAAACAACCCCATTTCGACCTGACACTGCTTTCAACCAGGAACAGCACCAATGAAGATTAAAGCAGTACAAAGAGAGGGCAGAAACAAACACAGTGAGGCCCACTGCCTCTAAGTCTCCTCAGGAACATCTGTCTCATTCCAAATCCAGTATTTTTTTTCCCTAAGCTATGTCTGGAGGCCTGAGGCACTGAGTAAATGTACTGGGTGAGACCGAAACTATTGATCTGCTTTCTGCAATGGCATGTGCAGAGCAGACCCGTCACTGTTTCAGCATCTGCAGGTTTCAAATGCAATCCAAGTTCACCTTCCCCTTGTAAGTTTAGGATGCAATCCAAGTTCATGCTGATTAACACCACAGCTTTTTAGTATTACAAGACAAACACGCATTTGAGAACTAATAAATAATTTCTGAGCAAAATAAAAGTATTTAGCTCACGTGATGCCTTGAATAATCACTCCTTTCATGCATAAACATATAAAGGCAGAAAAAACCAGATACATTTTAATGACAGCCTTGGAGAAAGTCACCGTCCCACAGGGTGCAGTTTGGCACACCACATCTCCCAACACAGGTCCCTGTTTGTTCCACACTGCCAAACCAGCCTGCTCCAGTGAGGGGGTGCCTGGCTGAGGGGCAGAACAAAGTCACCACAACTGCAGTCCACCTGCCCTGTCTCCAGGTGCTGAACCTCCAAGGCAGAAATCCTCCCCCTGGGAGGCATTTCCTCCTCTATTAGCCAAGAATCTTGGCTTCTCCGGGGTTCCACTGACAGCCTAAGTGGCCCTCAGAGAGCAGAACTCAGGCCATGCCTGGTTCCCATCAGTGGGGAAATCAAGATGCCACAAGAACCCCATTGATTAGTGCAGACTCCAGTGTTCTTTACTCCTTCAGATCTTTGCATGCCCAGAAAGGCAGAGCTGTGCTCACACTGCCAAGTGTTATTCATACACTTACTGTTATTACATCACTGCAGCAAGTGGCAATTTTCACAGCTGAGATTCATCTCTTTATTATAAGAGCATTTTATTCATTGGTTTGTGGCTCTATCAAAATTTTTAAGGGTTTGGGCTGAAGCTTTCCCTCGTAGGTCTTTCCTTCAAGGCTGAATTTCTTTTTTAGGAAAACTTCAGTGAGAATAATTGGGCTGTTTCCTGTATCAGCTGGGGGAATCTTTGTGCAAGTTTCTCCATCAGAGGCTCTGCAGACACAGCAAAGCCCCTGCTGTCAGCCTGGCAGGGACTCCAACAGGCAACCAGCAACACCCCAACAAACCTCCAGGGATTCCACCATCCCTCTTTTCTCTCGTGGAAAACCTGTCCTGACCCTGACCTTCCCCCCAGCCCCCCTGTGACCACAGAGCCACTGCATTTAAACACCTGCTGAGGTCAGCCCTGGCCTGAAGAGCAGCAGGAATTGGGCAAGCACTGGATTTAGGGGGGCACTGCCAACCAACCGCCTTCTGGACAGATCTTCTGGACAGATTTTCCTCCTGAGAGCTACAGCTGGGCTCTGACCTCACCCCTTGCAAGCCTATCCTGCATTTGTATCTTAATGCTTTCTTAATTGCCCATCAAGAATATTTCTTATTTCCAGGAACACACATCACTAATGCCTAATATTATGGTTATTTGGAAGCAGAAATATTTCTTCCAGATCACTGATGATCTGCTCCAAGAACCAACTTTCTGTTCAAACATTCCTTTTTAATAACTGTTCTACTAATAACTGTGCTAAGTTGGAAAAATAATAATTTGGCTTTAACTGTCCAACCACTTCAAACGTTTAAAGCAAATTCCCTCTATTATATCAAAATTAAAATCTTGCCCTGTATAAACAGGAACCTATTCCAGTTACTATAAACACTTCTAACTCATTTCACTATGATGAGTAACAGAGGTAAGTACCAAACAACTCAGACAGCAAATACAGTGTAAACTCAACTGAGAATCTTTCCTACAAACAGCTCTGAAAGTTTAAATGAGCTATTTACTTCCAATAAAATGTTTTGGTTTGACACATATAAAAGGAACAATGTTTAATCTAAAAACAATCAAATGAAAATGGCAAGAACTTCATAAAAATCAGTAACATGATACTTGTTTTTCAGAGGATTATCTTCGAGGAATGCTCGGCTAAAACTAAAATCCACCTACACTGAGAGAAATAAAGCAGCACACAGAAGGAGCAGCATTTCAGGAGAATAAACAACAGAGCACTTTGATATTTAAACCCATTATTCCCTATCAAGTGCCCAGATTTCAAACAGACCCACCAAAGTACTGAGGGGAATCTGAAGCAGCTGAAGATGTTCGTGGTCATCCTCTGAGCAACCAGAGGGCTGGCCCTGTGATGTAAGAAAGGCTAAGGCACAGCTGGCAGGGAGGGAATGGGGAGAGGGAGACGACACATCCCAGGAGTGTAACCCTACCCATGGCAGGAGGAGGAGATCAGAGGGCTGGATCAGAGATGGCACAGAGTCACAGAGACACAAATTGTTGTAAGTTACTATTGCCAGAGCCTCACCTCCCAACCAACCACCCCAGGGGCTCCTGTCCCACTTCCAGGCTAAGATCTATCACAGCTATTCCCCTCTTCCTGCTCGACCACTCTACCACTATTTTAAACCAATTTTAGCAGGCCTTCAATAGCACATAAAGGAAGGAACTCCTGAGATGTGTAAAGACAATTTAATAAAAGGCTCATGATTTAAAAATGTTCATAATGCCAAAGCAAGATACTCAGGAGACCTGAACTCAGCTGAGAAACACAGTACCTTTTAGAGAGTTCCTTTCTTGCAGCGGCTTTAAGGGGGAAATTCTCCTCTGGTTCGATGATAACTCTGTCAGAGAAAGAAAAAACATAAAGACATTTTTATTCCATCTAGGGGAAGTAGGAAGAGATTATTTTTAAATAACTGATATAATTTACATGATACAGTGGAAATCTCTTAGTTGTATCTCTCCTTTGGTTCCCCTTCCCTTCCTGAGTCATGCTGGCTTACCAAAAGGCATTACACCTCTGGTATCTGCTCCACCATCACCTGAAATGGCAAGACAATCCACAAAAGTGGAATATGGAAAGTAAACCCTGTAGGAGCTTGTTTGACTAACTGGCTATTGCAATCCTCTTGATTTCTGTCCCAGTGCCATTTGTCCCATATGTGCATATATCACACACTCCTGAAGCAGAATTCAATCCAATATATATTTAATTCCCCTTTAACTCATAGATTTAAAATCCCAAACCGTTACCCTCGTAAGCATGCACCACAGCATTTGCAGTCCTCCAGGTCTAAATGCCATCTAGTGGCTCTACAAATGTCAACTGTGGCTCCACAAACACACCTCATGCCGTCTGACATCCCTCCTTCCAGCAGCAGGAAACAGAAATCAGGGCAGGAGGACATTCACCTGCAGTTCACCAGGAGGAACTCATCGCTTTTCAACATCTCACTTTCTGGCTGAGCTTCCTGCAGCACTGCCACTACAGCATTCCTTACCTTAGCAATTTCTCCTACAGTTATTGGAAAGAACACTTCCCTTGATTTTTTCTTTCCTCCTTTTCCACCCATACTTTTGTTGTTGATTCAGAGTCAGGCAGACAAGCTGCCTGAGGCTTGGGGTGAGACCCAGTCCCACTACAGCAATTCCTGTGCAGCTGGGAGCTACTGAATCTTTCTTCATCACATAACCTGGGAGAAATGGCATCTACCCTCTTGACAAGACCTGGAGAATATGTCTGCAAAACACCAGGGGTGACAGCTCCACCCACACCAGTGCTCTGGGGATAATCCCATTTGTGTGGCCTGACACTTAGTGCTGGTTACCAATTAAAAACTACTTGATTCCCCTCTCTCAGCAGTGTCTGCTGGAACAGGGACAGTCCCAGCGTGCCAGGACTGTGCCAACCCCCTGGATCAGCCGGTGCTGTCACGCTGTGGGTGCCACTGGGCACTGCTCTGTGTCACCTGGTGCCAGCTCAGAGACTCAGCCCCACATCCTGCAGCTGGAACCCGCTGAGGGCTCGTGGCTGTGCTGCAGAGTCCCTTCTGATCCCCTGCAATGCAGGGCAGAGGGGCCCAACCCACCAGCTGGGACCACGTTCCATTTACAGAACACCTGGGCTTCATCACAACAACGCTGCTTCACCCCACTGAGACACCTTTATTGCTGATTCCAATCAAGTAGCTTGCAGCTCTCAGATGGGAAAGGTGGAGAGAAACCTGTAATGCCTTTTCAGATTGCTTGTTATCTCTCACTTGTGGCTAATTATACCAGTCACACTGTTAAAGACTGAGCGGTTTTATGTTCACCCGCCAAGAAATGACAAAAAAAGAAAGAAATTAGACAATTAGTCTCTAGCTCTAAGAACTAATTAAGATAAATATTTTCAGAATAAGGAACTTAACAGAACATCAAGGCACTGACACTGCAAAAATGTCTGGGAAAGTAAAGCATCTCTCAGCAAAACCATTTCTTGCCAGTCAGTGAGCTCCTCAGCTGCATCCCAACCACACTTCATTCCTGTCCTACTCCAGTAAACATCATCAGTTATTAAAACTTCTTTCTAACATGGTGAGAATGTGAGTAGCTTACTGGACTGTGGGAAAGCTGCACACAGTGCAAAATCTTGCCAAGGGATGAATGGAAAGCCTTTCTCTTTGGCTCTTCCTGCCACTCAAATGTCTGGCATTTCTGGCATTAAAATAACTAATAAAAATGGGGATGACATAATTTATTTGGTAACAGAAGAACTACCTGCACATCCACAGCTACAGCCCTCACTGCACACTTCCAACCCAAAATCAGCCCCAAGGATGTCACGTTCCTCTTGCTTACAGCAGCACATCACAGCACAACTTCAGGCACCAGCAGCTCCCCCAGTGGAACAGAGTCCAGTGCAAAAGAGCTCCCTTGCTCCCAAACTGATCTGCCTGTCCATGTTTTGTTGTTACTGACTGTAAGAAGCTGATACCCTCCAATGGTATATGCTTTCCTTGGCAGGAGCTTTGCCAGCAGAACCTTGGGCAGAACTGAACAGCACTCTCTGGGCTGCATTTGGCATCTGCTGTGATTTACTTCTCTTAACCAAGAGACAGGGAGGGCAGGAGAAAGAATTTTTTCCCCGAGCACCTTCTTCCTTCACCTTCTATCTTCATTTGCTAAACTACTTCATTTTACAGAGAAATGCAGAGTATTCTGACTGACAACACAGTTCTGCTTTTATGTAAGGTATCAGATGGCAAACATGAGGTATCTACATTACACAACCCAGCGTGTGGGCACATACCCTGTCACAACTTGCATCAAAACATAGGAAACAGTCATGGGAAGTGAGGTCTCTTCACTTGGAGATGTGATACAAACACAGCTACCCCACGACACACGGAACAACAGCCACGCTGTACACTCATTAAAAGGCTTTCCATCAAAAGAGGCGGACTGCAAGCTGTTTGATATTCTAATATTTACACTCAATTATCTCTAGAAATTTATTGAAAACAGGATTATTTCTGTGTTACTTAGGAGCTCCGAGTTCCCTTATAAACTCCTACTCATTGTCAATTATAGTGTAAATCAGCATGTTAACAGCAAGCGAGCAGCCATGAACTAAAGCAGCCGATCCAAATGCAGACAAAGTTTGGACAGGAGTGGTGGCAAAACGCCCAGAAAGTTCCAGACCCCCTCTGAACAGCTCAGTCATCCTGGAGAGATACACAGACCCCTCAGCACAGATGCACTGGATAACAGCAGTCCCTGCCGATAAATTTTATATAAATATTCCCAAAGCAGTGAAGAGCCCGTGCATCAGCACACAGACACGTCACAGGTAAGGACTGCAGCTTTTTCCAGCGCCAGGGCTGAGAATGTAGAGCAGGCTGGAAAATGTGGCTCCAGTCATGAGTGCTAAGAGTGAACCACATCATTCCTCAAGGAAGCGATGCTGAACTCACCTGGCAGAGCCAGTCACCTTCCCTGAACTCACCTGGCAGAGCCAGTCACCTTCCCTGGGCTGCCCCAGTGTGTGCAGGAGGACATGGCCCAGCAAAGGAACACTGGTGACACCTGGAACTGCACAAACCCATGCCCAGCGAGTCACTCCACTGGGCAAAATTAAAGATCAGCCTTCCTTCTGAAGGAAATGGCACACACTTCTGCGTGTTGGGTAAATTCATCTTTATAAGGAGCCCAGACAGTTTAAGGTTTTTAATTGGACTGAGATTTTTCTCCCGAACATCAAACAGAGGAGCTGCATTAAAACAGCAGTTTCTTGATTGCCACAAGCCTCAATGACAGCATTTCCAAGCTTTGTTCTCCATCATGTCACACCGATTAGCAACTGTACACACCTGGGACACGTGCAGGATCCCCTGAGTAGCCATGAATTACACATTCCTGACTCTTTAAAGTCAACGCTGATAACCTCCTTACCAAGGGCCTGCCGACAGCTGCTCGTGCTGCTCTCCTGATATTGCTCATTGTAAACACACAGCCAGGAATGCAAAAGCCAGGTACACGTAGCCTGGTATCACACAGGTGCACATCTACATGTGATAAGGGAGACTTTGCCAACAACACTGTTTAAAGAATTTGCGCAGCAACAGAACTGCAGCTGAACACCCTCTGTAAAAAAAATGCAATTTAGGATTTTACATCACACCCAATTAAATTAAAATGCAACACTTGATCACCTTTCATGGAAGTTTTGAAGGGGATTTTGTTGTGTTTCATATTAATATGGAGTTTCATTTAATGTAGATGACAAATTGCCTGAGTTTGTGTTGTAATGTGCTAAGGTTATCCCAGTCCAACCGTGTTCATGGGGTAACCAAAGTCACCTTTTAGGGATTACAGAAAGAGGATACATTTATTCATTTATGTGGGAGGCAAAGGTGATGTTCCAAACTTTTATAATGAAATTTATCCTGAAAAAAGAAGAAGAAAAAAATTAATCCCGGTTTTACTGATAATACATCAGTGCCAGTAAAGCTCACAAGTGTGGGAAACTGGCTGCAGCTGGTTTTATTCTCCAGGGGAGAATTTCCTCTCCCAAAGCAGACCCAGTTCTGTTATCACTGCCAGGACTGAGGCCTCAGCCACACCTCCTGCAGTTCTTCCTCACTTGGACACCAGCTTTTAATTTATTTTTTTTTTCAAACAAGAGCATAGAAAACTCTGCAAAGTCCTGCAGCAAACCTGCAGAATCCACAGCATCTCATGGGTGGCAGGAGGTGCACACACCACGTGGATGCACGTGCATGCAGGTAAACCAAACTACCAAACTACATACAAACAGTCAGAGAACCAAAAGGTACAAGCAGTTAGATTATTTCAGATGTGCTGGCATTCTTTAAATCTAATGTCCCAAATTTTATGTCCCATTATTTGACTAATGAAGTTGTGGCAGTAGAAACTGCAAGGGTGTGCCATCTGTACCTGAGTGACAGTGAAAGAGCACAGCACCTCTGCGTGACTTACACCACAATTATGTGTATTCTGTTTAATTGTGTAACAACGTTCCCATTTGTCTCTGCTGAAAAATAATTCTGGAAGTTCTGTTTATTAATGATGGCCTGAAGGGAGAAGTTCACAGGAGAAGTAAGATCTCTACTCAGTCATGCACATGGAGCAGTGTGACATTAGCACAGATTAGGATCACTGATATAAATTGCTTCAATAAAGCAAAGGGAAAATTACAGGTGAAGTATCGTAGCAATCTAAACCAAAAAACAACTGCCAGGGACAGATATAAATAGCACCCAAAGTCGCTGCTCTGGGAATGTAAAAGAGATGGCTGGGAAGAATATCTCAGGACAGAAGAAATCAATCGTTTGCAGCT